AAGGAATGAGAACAAGATGAATTGAAATTCCAGAAGGAATGGAGCCACTTTGAAGTAAAACAACAATCTACAGGAATTTTTATGTTGGAGGAACATTCTGCATCTTGATGCCAACTTGCCATTGGCCTTAGTCCAAGCAGAAAACATTTGGGGGGTGAGAATTGAACCATCAAAGCTTTTAATGGCTGTTACAGGGGCAAAGTGACAACTGGAAACTTAAGGAACTTTAACCACATAGCCAGTTTCCCCATAGGACTATGTGATGGGGTTGCAATGACTGAGGACTGAAACAGAAGCTTCTGAAAAACAAAGACCTGCCATAAATAGGGGGCCTGCTTCAAAGCATTTGCAAGATTTTGAAGCTACCTGCAGTAGGAGGTTAAAGAGCTGAATGGAAATCCTCAGAATAGCATAATAGAACTTCCTACAGTCTTTCATAGCTTAAGAGACAAAGACCCAATAAGCTCTCAATCAAAAACCTGGAAAGGTCAGCTTATGCATGAGGAAAACTAAATGTAGACTAAATCTTACTAAAACTCCAACACTAGCCTAACCATGCTCAGTTCCTGATTGGATTGTGATCAGCTCTTTACCCTATATACCTAACAGAATAAAGGAGAATCGTCTTTGGTAAAAGATAAAAGTATTGTCTAGATCAACTATAGTTCTTATGGTTTTTATACAGAATGTTATTCGTGCAATGAAAAATTACTGGACATGCAAAGAGCTAAGGCCATATGACAAATAATGAAGATAAATAGTAGCTAGTAAAAGCAGATTCATGGATCACCCAGGTTCTGGAGTTAGCAATAAGGATTTAAAATAACTGTGATTAATATGATCAGGAAATTAGAATATGGGTGAATTAGAATATGGGTGAATGGATATTTCACCAGAAAACTGGGATCTCCAAAAAAGAATCAAATGGGATTTTTCTGGAGTGATAATAATATTCTAATCTTAATAGAGTGTGGATTACACTGGTGTATGCATTTGTCAAAATTCATGTGTGCACGTCTAAATTTGTTCATTTTATTGTATGTAAATCTCACCTCTAAAGAAATGAACTACTCATAAATATTGAAGTATAGTTGATGCGCATGCTGAAGTATTTAGAGAGAAGAATACCAATGTCAGCAATTCACTGATTTTTTTTGAGTTGGAGTCTCACTCTGTCGCCCAGACTGGAGTACAGTGGCCGCTCCCGGCCACCGCAGCCTCGACCTGCTGGGCTCTGGCGATCCTTCCATCTCAGCCTTCCAAGTAGCCAGAATTACAGGCATGCGCTACCACACCCAGCTGATTTTTTGGATTTATTGTAGAGATGAGGTCTCGCTGCCCAGGCGGGTCTCGAACCCGCGGGCTCAGGCAATCCACTCACCTCAGCCTCTCAAAGGCACGGGATTACAGGCTGAGCCACCAAGCCCGGCCAATTCACTGATTTTTAAAAAATCCAAATGAATCTACAAACTATTAGGATCAATAAGTAAATTTAACAAGGTCAGTATAGCAAGATCAATATACAAAAATCAACTGTATTTCCATATAAGAGCAACAGACACTTAGAAAATAAAATTGTAAAAAATATGATTAACTATAGCATCAAGAAACATCAAATACCTAGAAGTAAATCCAACAACAGATGTGTAAGACATTCACACTTAAAACTAAAACTTGTTATGGACAGAAATTAGAAAAAAACTAAATAAATGGAGGGATATACCATGTTCACGGATTTGAAAACTCAATGTTGTAAAAGTCATATAGAAATGCAAAAGATCAAAAATAGCCAGAGCAACCTTGAAGAACAATAAAACTGCAAGATTAACACGATAGGTGTCAAGACCTATTATAAAGCTATACTAGTAAATATGGCATAGTATTGGTATAAAAACAGACAAATTGTCAACTGGAGCACAGTCACCTGATTTATTACAATGATAACACTGCACTGTGATGAGAAATGGATGGTCTTTTCAATTAACTCATTGCACTGAGTTAACTGGATATCCATTTGGAAAATAATGTTTTTGATTCCTATATTATACCATATGTTTAAAAAATTATAGATGAACTGCAGACCTGAATGAAAAAGATAAAACAAAAATATTTTAGAGAACATGTAGGAAAAATGTTTACGACATTGAAATGACCAAAGGTTTCTTAAACAGGGTTCACATAGCACTATCCATAAAAGAAAAAAATGACACCTTGACTATATTAAAATTAAAACTTCTGGTCATCAAAAGATACCACTATGAGAGTGAAAAGGTAGAAGATATAAATAAAATATATTTATGGCAATGATCTCATATCCAGAATATTAAAAACACTCAATACAAATCAACAAGCAAAAGATAGACAACCCAACAGAAAAACAGGCAAAAGCCTTGAACATACATTTCACCAAAGAAGATATTAAAATGACCAAAGTAGCAAACTTCATTAGTCATCAGAGAAAAGTCAAGTCAAAACTACAATACATTACTACCACACACTTTTCAACTAGCTAAAAAAATTTTTAATTGCAAACAAGTAATGACAAGGATGTGAAACAATGAGGACATTCATAAGCTATTGATGAATATGTAAATTGATACAACCACTTTGAAGACTACAGAGATGAACATATGCAGAGCATTATGACCCAGTGATTCTACTCCTCAGTATATACCTAATATAAATGAATACATAAATTCTTCTTCATAAGACACATATTAGAATATGCACAGCAGCATTGTTTTAGAGTGGCCAGATCTGAAAACCCAAATATTCATCAACTGGTGAGTAGATGAACAGATTGTTGTAACTCTATACACTATAAAGAAATAGATTTATGATACATACAACATAGATGAATCTCAAAAATATGCTGAGCAGAGAATGCAGACACAAAAAAATGCATGCATATGATTACACTTATATAAAGTCCAAAAACAGGCAACAAAATTGATGATTCTTACAATGTAGAGTAAAAGAAGCCAAACAAAAAAAAGGAATCTATTTTTATAATGTTTAAAAAGGTAAAACTGATAAATGCTATTAGAAGTTAGGATAATGATTATCTTTTGGGAAATGATAGTTATTAGAAAGGAGCACAGAGGTGTTTTGAGGGTGCTAATAACATTCTGCTTATCAACCAGATGAAAACTTATTGAATGACACACCTATGAACATATTAATATATGAATATTATGCCTCAATAAAACCGTAATTTTAAAAAAGGAAAAGAATATACATGCATACAAACCAATTATAAACATTTAGCAAAAACACACATAATAAAAGATTCAAAAAACGAGAATCTGGAGAGAAATGAAGAATAGAAATAAAGGATCCCTTCTGCTGTTTCCATGCCTGGACCACTCCAGTTAGCACACACAGGGCAGTTCTGAGTCAGAGTTGACCTTTAGCCTGTGGGGTGGGACGAGAGGCAGGCACAGTCCAAATATTTGTAGGCCCAGGGGGAAAAGTTCATATAGAGGCCTACAATTTAACTAAAATATTAAAGGGTATAAATCAAACTAATTGCTAAATAAAATTCTGTATGTTCTACCAGTATATGTTGGCATATATAAACACATACACACACACACACACACACACACACACACACACACACACACACCCTTCACAATGATCAGGAATGCAAGATTCAAATTTAGAATCTTCAAATTCTGCCAGTTCCCCAGCCCGATCCCCTTCTTTTCCCAGCCCAGCCAAGTCCCACGTGGCAAAACACCTCACAATTGCACCTGTAGAAACCCAAAGACTTTGAAATTCCATCCAAACCCCCACAAGAAGTCATTCCTTAGGCCTAGGAGTACACACCAGCAGCACAAGCTTCCCTTTGGAAGATTCTTCTGAGGAAAAGGCTCACACAAGCCTGGAAACAGGCTGGGGCCAATGGGAAAGGGCATTAGAAAGTCCCAGGTGCTAGAAGAAGGGTTTCAGATGGGTGCATAGGCTCTGAGTGGACACATCCCTGGGTCCATAGACTCCTTACATCATGGGAAGGACACTGCCAATAGGGACCAGAGTGAATGTCAAATTAAGGATCTCTATTGCCAAATTTAAGGGGAATTCTAGAAACAAGAGTGGCCTATTCTCTACTCACCCAAACCCATCAAATTAAAATAAGAGCTGACACTCGCCCTGCTTTGTGCAATTTACAAACTACTTCCACATGCAATACTCTTAGTCAATCTCAACAACCTTGTAAGACTATAACATACTACTATCTGAGTGATGAGAAAACAAAGCTAAAAGTGACCTGCCTGGAACTGCACAATTAAAATTTTTTTAAAAAGTACTTCTAGACCTCCAGTGGGGGAGTTTTCTCTCCAAAATCCAAAGGTCTTTCCATGATTCATCACTGCCATGCATCCCCCAGCTTTCTAGAAACTGGTGGACTAAAAAAGAATTGTAAATTGTAAATATGTGGTTGAAACATTTTGGAAAAAGAACAGAGCTGGGGAAGGAAGTTTAACACCAAATACAGAGCAATTTCTGGGAAAGAGCCTCTTCCTAGAGCAAAGACCATCAGTGGGACAAAGACTACTATGTAGGGGTAGAAATCCTAGCTGGGTCTTGGGGACTCCGCTCCTACCCCAGACCACAAAATGAAGGCCTTCAACACAATTAAGCAATCCCCACCCAAATTCCACACCAATTACATGCAGAGGGCCTGGCTCCACAGTCCTCCTTCTCTCCACCACCCTGCTGAAAATACTTTATTAATGAGAGGGCAGCATAAAGCCACGGCACTCCATCTGCTCAGAGACAATCCAGAAAGAGCATGCTGGCACCAGCCCCAAATGAAGATGGACCATCCTCCAGCAAGGACTCGATACAGCTATGCCTCCCTCTAATTACCAGGGTGCCTGGCATAGAGCCTGGGCAGTTATTTAGAGAACCATTGCCTGCTCCTAGTACAGATAATCATAAAGCTGGGCAGCAAACACTGTCTGCTCAAAGCTAGGTGCTTGAAGCTGCCATCTCCTCACTCCACCATCCTGGGACCTTTCCTGCTGCCTCTGGACCCCCAAACTTGGTAGCATCATGTCGCTTGCACACACAGCTGCAGAGTATATGCTCTCTGATGCCCTGTTGCCTGACCGCAGGGGCCTCCGCCTCAAAGGACTGCGCCTGGAACTGCCCCTGGACCAGATGGTCAAGTTTGTAGCTGTGGGCTCTCCCTTGTTGCTGATGTCCCTAGCATTCGCCCAGGAATTCTCTTCTGGTAAGTTGCTTACAAGACTAGTACACGTACAGACTCCACTTCATGGCACTCTCTGCATGGTCTCTGAAGTGAGACAGTGCCCACAATGACTGGGTCTCATGACTTTGTGCTGGGCTGGGCTGGACTGGGCAGGACTACCCAAGAGGCAAAAGATGTATGAGCTTAGGGCACTAACAAAGCAGAGGCAGCAAAAAGTTTTAAAAGTCGTCTCCAAAAAATAAATCAGATTTTATTATGCATGTATTTTATGTCATTTCAATCATTAAACTTTTTTGGATTTTTATACAGGTGAGAGAGGTTGGAACCCCGTAATCTTGTCAGGACCTTGAACCTCTTCGTTTTAGCCATGCCATCAAAAAATCTCTTATTTGATGATCCTCATCCCACCCCCTACCTCCAGGGTTACTGATTTGAAAACATATTTTAAGTGCCTGAGAGCACATTAGACGTGCTGGATAAATCTATTGCTTTCTCTCCCCAAATCCCAGCCACACACACAGACATTGACATACACATACAACTAGTGTTGCAGGTGATGGGTTAACTCAGCAATCCATACCTCTAGTAAAGAGAATGTGGACTTCCTGAGATGTGGAACTTCTGGCTCTCTGTTCTGGCTGTGCCATCAGCTCACCACATGTCCCAACCAGGACAATCTCCCACTGCCTCTTTGTTCATTCTCAAGAAGGGAAGAAATAACAGTTCCCACCTCTACCTCCTTCTGAAGAATGATGAAAAAACAAGAAACCAGAGACTCTCCTCCAAGTCCACTTTCCTTCCAGCACCACTTGCCCACCCTGTCTTTTGATTTGGTCTCAGATGCTCAGGCAATTAATCCTCTGCATTTTACAGCCTAAAAGATGTCAGCTCTTTCAGGAAGGCATTCACTAAACTGCAAGTCTTCTGGTGCCAGACTGCAGGAGCACAGGGAGCCCCTGCTGCCCACCTGTCTGGGAGTCTGAAGGGCACTCTGAGGGGAAATAACCTGCCAAACTCAAAAGGCTGTATCAGCACACTGGCAAGCCTGGGCCAAATGGTGGGGAGCTGTCCAGGTATACCCTGTCCAGGTATACCCTGTCCTATCATAACATAGCAGTGCCCAACCCTGAAAACTAGGGCATGGGAAGAAGACAGTACCTAGCAGACATAGAAATTGGCAAAGAGCCTTGGAGGCAACCCCTAGAAATCTGTTACATGATTGTCCCTGTGTCCCCATTTTTCCACTCCAACTTAGGGCAGCCTCAAAGCTGTGTTTCTGTTCCAGGGTCTCCGATCAGCTGCTTCTCTCCCAGCAACTTCAGCACCAGGCAGGCTGCCTATGTTGACAGCTCCTGTTGGGACTCACTGATTCACCATGAACAGGATGGGCATGGCCAGGACAAGGCGAAATCTCTCTGGCCTCACAAGGTAAAGCAGACACACTCTATCCGGCCAGCTTCACAGCAGAGTGAAATAGGACAAAACCTGCATCACTTCACTCCCTCGTGCCTCTTCCCCCCCGGCGCCCCCACCCCATTATTTTTATCACTGACTTTCATGTTTCATGCTTTCTTCAAATATCTGGTGATCTTTGGTTGCCCACTTTTATCTTATTGGAAGCTTTATGCCTATAGGTGAAGCATGTAGACAGGCACCCTTCAGCTTGGTCTATTTCATGGAAAAAAATCAAATATCAGCATCTGTGTTTTTCCTTCATTTGTGGGGAAGGGCAGAGTGCAGTTTGTAATAAGCCAATCCTCGGGGAATTTGCCAATCCTCGGGGAATTTGACTGTGGGTCTCATCATTCAGTGTTCACCTTGTTCTCAGTATGGTTCCCCTGTCTTGATGAATCCAAGAATAGAGTTTAATCTGGTTTAATCTCTCCAGAGAGTAACTGTCAAACCTCTGTCAGGGGAGGGAAAGGGTAGCCACTTGACTACCTCACATTTCTCATACAGATTTTTAAAACAATTTTCCTTTTCTCATCCCTACCTACACTCTGGTTTCCAGAGGAACCTAGTGTTTCCAACTCCTGAGGTTTTCTGATACTGTGGTGCAAAACAGCTTGCTTATCCCTGCCTCATCTTCCCCTCCCCCCACAGAGTGGTATCTTCTATCATTCAACTGCTTTCTAGTTTTTAGCATGTTGTTGTTCTTGTCTCCTCTCCTGTTCTCTTTATCCTTATAAGATTGTGTCTTTTTTTAAGTCTCTTACTGTCATTCTCATGGGCTTTTATGAAGGAGTAGCAGTAATATGTATGTTCTATTCACAATATTTAGTCAGAAATCACTCACGTCATTTTCTAGGTATAACAACTTACAAGGCCTCAAATTACCACAGTTGTAGGATTCAGAACAAACCGGAGGCTTAATGGAAAGAGTTCACAAGATTTTTGTCAGTGGAAGTTAAAGTAGAATCAAGGTGATAACAAGTTCTGTGTTAGAGAGGATTTCACATGTCAGAAAAGGGTCAAATCGCCTGATAATCCATCACCAGGATGCTCTTCAAACCCAAATTCTCTGGCTCCACTTCAAAATACTGAAACGGCATCTCTAGGGATGGAGGGTTTGTTTTCAAAAGATGTCATTCCTTAGAGAAATTAGAAAAGGTTCTAGTTTTCTCTCATGACCTAGTATATGTTTCCTAACATATCTTTCTTATTTAGTTTAGAAAACACACATGTACATGCACATACACGCCTTTTTCTTCTATTCTCTATCAGTTACGTATCTTCCCTCTTTTTCTTCAAATTCTCCTCTAAAACAACAAAGCATCTCTGGTTCAAGAGAAGCCGTAAGTCAGCCAGGAACAGTGGCTCGTGCCTAGCACTTTGGGAGGCCAAGGCAAGAGATTGCTTTGCCCAAGAGATCAAGATCAGCCTAGACAATGCAGCAAGACCTCAGCTCTGCAAAAATTAGCTGAGCATTGTGGCATGTACCTGTAGTCCCAGCAACTCAGGAGGCTGAGGTGGAAGGATTGCCTGAGCCCAGGAGGTCGAGGTTGCAGTGAGCTATGATCGTGCCACTGCATTCCAGCCTGAATGACAGTAAGACTCCAACTCAAAAAAAGAGAGACTATAAATCAAGTACTCATTAAGGGAATAAGTTCCCAAATCAGACAGCCTAGTTGCAAATCCTTGCTTTCCCACCTACTGGAGTGCAATCCTCTACAGGTTACTTATTCTTTTCATGATTCAGTTTCCTTATCCATAAAATAGAGATACTAGTTGTACCTACCTGACAGCATCCTTGTAAAGATCAAATGAAACAATGCATTTTAAGCACCTAGCAAAAATGTAGCTTTAAAAACCCCTTACAAAGAGGAGTATTACTGTGGGCAAAATAACAGGTCCAACCCTGCTGGGTATGATAACTATGATGAGAAAACCTAAGGAGAAGTCCCAGTATTTGTTTGCTAAGACTGCTGTAACAAAGTACCACAAACTAGATGGCTTAAACAACAGCAATTTATCATCTTACAGTTCTTGAAGCCAGAAGTCCAAGATCAAGATGTTGTCACTGTTGGTTCCTTTGAGGGTCATGAGGAAAGGATCTGCCAGGCCCCTCTCCTTGGCTTGTAGATGCAGAACCCTGGACATTCTTTCTGTGTGCGTGTCTGCCTCTTTGGCTGACTTTTTTGTTTTAAGAATACCAGTTATAATGGATTAGGGGCCCACCCTAATCAACCCCTATCAGTCACTTATCTCAGGTAGCAAATAGTGTCATTGAGGAGGCAAGATTTATGCATTCCTAAAATCAGTTTATTTATCTACATACCTGAAAGAGCCCCCAAAGAATTCCAAGACAGTTTCTGATGGTGTTATTTGGCATTACCAAGAATCCAAAAATCAGAAAAGACCACTGTGCATAAGAGAAGTCCAGGAAGGCTACATGGAAAAAACAGGATTTTCTTTCCCCTGGGATGCCATGGCCACTGTTGGCCATGATCTCTGGCTATCTACTCAGACTAACACATTTGGAGGAAGAGGCAGGGAGATCTCTTTCTCTTACTCTCCCTCTCCCTCTCCCTCTCACTGTCCTCCCTGGGCCCTAGACAGATCCTGGATCCCAAAAACTGGACCTGAGGAGCATGAAGATACACATCCCTTCCCAACAAGCCTTCACTATATTCAGCCAAGTCAGTAGAAAGCCTCAAGTTTGGGGCCTATGGTAGCCTATTCTCCATACTGCCTTCCCCTCTGAGGCAGGAACTGGGTAAAGGAGAGCCCCTCACTCAGAGCTCCCCCCAAGGTCTCAGCAGCCTGGGCCTTCCCTCCTCAGCCTCTCTCACCCTACAGGCCCTCCCCTACTCCTTGCTGGCCCTGGCTGTGGTCATGTACCTGCCAGTTCTGCTGTGGCAGTATGCAGCTGTGCCAGCCCTCAGCTCAGATCTGCTGTTCATCATCAGTGAACTGGACAAATCCTACAATCGCTCCATTCGCCTGGTACAGCACATGTTGAAGATTCGGCAGAAAAGCTCTGACCCCCATGTATTCTGGGATGAGCTGGAAAAGTAAGTTATCTCTTCTACCTCTTTCTGAAGGATTTAGTCAAGCATTAAAATTATGCCCTTGTGTAGTAATCTTTAAAGTATCTTCCCTTCTCCAGCGAGCAAAGTATTTAACATATCATCTCTATCCTTTCTGTAAAGGAACAGACTGTACAGACGAACACACTAGGCCCACCAAGGGATTCATCTCTCTAAAATACCACTTTCTCACACTATCCCCCTCAGAAACCTTGAATAGCTCCCCCCATGCCTACCAAAAAATATCCAAATTCTCCCAAATATATGTCCAAGGCCCTCAACATACTCCCACCAACTGCTTTTTCAAACTTCTAACTACCAGGTGACAGAAACCTTCCACTCTACCTAGGCAGTCTCCCCCAATCATTTATTTGTTTAATCATTTATTTATCATTCCTCCATCTGAGTATAGGACACTCTTCTGGATGCTTCAAATATATTAGTGTGTATGTGTTAGGGGAAGGATTAGGGGAGACAAAGTTTTACCTACCCATGTGGGACTTACAGAATTGTTGAGGAAAAACAGAGAACAAATAAACAAAACACAGGAGTAAAATATATGTTAGGAGATGAAGTGGCATAAAGAAAAAAATGTAAAGCAGTAGGGGTGGCAGAAGAAAAACTAAAGGATGAAGGATAAAGAATGGTGTCATTTTGCAAAGACAGGCCAGGCGAGCGCCCCCACCCCCCATGAGAACAGTTGATCTAGCATCTGAGTCATATTCTCTCGTGTTTATGCACTTACTTAATCCTCGAAAAAGAAAAAAGAAAAAAAAAGCTCCTCCCTACTTTTTGAATCCAGCTTTAAGTCAATTCTCCATAAAGGCTTCTGAGCATTCCAGCCCACACTGCTACCTCCCTCTCCTAACTTTTGCAACTACTAAGATATGTGTTCATCATTTTAGCAACATATCAAGTGCTGATTTTACTTCACATTTGCATGTCTACCCCTTCCCCACAAGTCAGACTCTAAGCTCTAAGCTTCTTCAGAGACTGGTTTACATGTACCTGAACACCACAGGTCTCAACTCTCTCTCACTTGTGAGTACATGTATTTGTATAAAATGAATGAATTGGCTAAAAATAATATACAGAGTACACAGGACAAGAACCAAAATGTACTTATTTAGACTACTAGTCCAATGCTAATTTCATAAGCCTCCCTTCCTACAAGTCCTACTTCAGCTTAGAGCTTTTGTCTGCCTTGATGAGCAGAAATCCACTGTGACCATTTACTGCTCATTGATCATTCACTGGGTTTACTGCATTACACTCAATACTTGGAGAATCAAGATGTACTTACACATTTCTTTTTGGGGGAGAAGCATGATTATGCTCAAGGAAGGCAAATTTTCATGTGAGCCAAGACACTATGTCGGAAACACAGATCTTCTATTACTTTCCCACATGGCTCTCTTGGGATATTGTTCAAAATGGCCCTTCCTAACTTTGCCTCCTTTCTTCCCCTGTCCAGGGCTCGGAAAGAACGATACTTTGAATTCCCTTTGCTAGAGCGGTATCTGGCATGCAAGCAGCGCTCACATTCACTAGTGGCTACCTACCTCCTGAGGAACTCTCTCTTACTCCTCTTCACCTCAGCCACCTACCTGTACCTTGGCCACTTCCACCTAGATGTCTTCTTCCAAGAAGAATTCAGCTGCTCCATCAAGACAGGGCTGCTAAGTGATGAGACCCATGTCCCCAATCTGATCACATGTAGGCTGACCTACCTGTCTGTTTTCCAAATTGTTAGCCTCTCCACTGGAGCTATATATACCCTATTGGTTCCAGTGATAATATACAACCTCACACGGCTATGTCGGTGGGACAAACGACTCCTATCCATCTATGAGATGCTCCCAGCTTTTGATCTCCTCAGCGGAAAAATGCTAGGATGTCCCATCAATGACCTCAATGTGATCCTTCTTTTCCTTCGAGCCAACATCTCTGAGCTCATCTCTTTCAGCTGGTTGAGTGTCTTATGTGTGTTGAAGGACACAACCACCCAGAAGTACAACATCGACACAGTGGTTGATTTTATGACTTTATTGGCTGGCTTAGAACCCTCAAAACCTAAATACCTTACCCACCAGGTGTGTGATGAACACCTATAGTTAAGAAACCATGAAGCAAGAAATACTGTGAAAAGGAAAAGTCTCTCTCCTTCTTTGCAAGTCATACATCCTAATACAAAAAAAAGAAAGAATTGCTAAGCTTAGATTTAGCTGAACCATATATCCTGTATCAGGTTATCCTAAAGGTAAGAAGATATAATCAAGACATGGAAATAAATATGAAAGTTGAAGCTGAAGAGTCAAAGAACTAGAAAATTAGGTCTAGAACATTCTATGAGGACAGTATGAATAAGTAAATAGAAATAAAGTCTAGACATTCTACAAAAGAGTCTAAAGGCCGTTTAATGGAGGCAATTCCATCACCCCTCCAGGATGTATATTCAGTCTACCTCAAGGAGCAAGTGAGGCAATCCGGAAAGAGATTAATAAAGATGTAAAATTGCTGGAGTCCCGCTTCAGCAGGTTCAGGGTTTCCCGAAGGAAGGGCAGCGTCGGTGAGTGAAGAGATGGACACAGACCTGGTGTTTATGCAGGACTGCTCGTTTATTGCTAGCAAATCTGTGATTTATATACCTTTTTGTTACATAACCTTTTGGGTGACATACATGAGAAATCTTTTCTTGACATTACTAAAATTCTCCAAAACAAGTTTCTTAAAATATTAATGATGGTCATGTGCAACTTTCCGAGTGTTTTTCTCATATTTTTACGGTTAGGTGGACAGTCATGTGACACCTTTCACGTACTCTTCTCATACTTTAACAATTAGAGGTCGGGCTCGGTGGCTCAGCCTGTAATCCCAGCACTTTGGGAGGCCGAGGTGAGTGAATTGCCTGAGCCCACGGGTTCGAGACCCACCTGGACAACTTGGAGAGACTGTGTCTCTACAATAAATCAAAAATTAGCCGGGCGTGGTAGCACACACCTATAGTTCCAGCTACTTGGAAGGCTGAGGCGGAAGGCTCACCAGAGCCCAGCAGGTCGAGGCTGCGGTGGCCAGGAGCAGCCACTGCACTCCAGTCTGGGCGACAGAGTGAGACTCCGACTCAAAAAAAAAGAAAAACAATTAGATACAATCACTTTCCTTAAAGCTATGAAACAAAAAACTTATACGATTATTCCTTTAAAGCTAAACACACTCATAACGCAAAAACACCATTACCCTATACTTGAATACCCATGACCATTCAAAATTAAGCATAATCTATGTACTAAAACTAATATCTAATCTCTTCCTAGAAATAACGCAACAACAATGGTCAACCTGTTATATATTTAACTATGGCCAAGTACACTCTAGCAAATGTTTTCTGCCACAAGGAACTAAACTTTTATTTGTGTAGCTATAGAGAAACCAATTTCCAGAGCAATGACATTTCTTGGGGTTCTGCCAGTACAAACTGCACAACAGTCTACAATTAGTGGGCCTCCATCTGCAGCCCCAGTTTCTTAACATAATGTTGAGGGTTCCCCTTAAGGGGGTATAAGATTTATCTTGTAATTTAATGAAAATTTCTGGCCTCGTCACTTCAGGACAGGCAATTATCTTTCCTCTCTGTGCTATAACTGCAGGGTGAATGGATAAAATTTCCCACAATCCCCCAGAGTCTATTTTCTGTGGTTGGTTAGCAAGTTGTAGTTTCTCAGCCCCTAGGATTTCCACAGGTAGCATAACTAAGCAAAGCAGGAGAAGCAGAACCGCTGCTTTCCTGGACGTGCCAGGCTGTCCGGGATCATCAGTCTCCTTGACCATGTCAGAAGACTGACCATTGCAGTCGGTCCCCAATATAAAATCCCTGGAAACCCTGTGGTGTGGCCTGAAATCCTAGGAATTTTCTCAGTTTGCTTTGTGGAAGTCAACCTTGCCCAGATCCTCTGTGGCCTCCAAAGTGAGCTGGGAAATAATGATGGCTTCAGTTTGCAATCTGCTCTGGAGATTTAAGGACATAGTAAAAACAAGGCCAGAGCTATGCATCAGCTAAACAGAGACTTGAGGTGTCCAAATACACTTTTCGTCTTCTAAACCAGGGAATCATTTCACCACGGTCTGCAATTATGAACTGTAGACTTCTTTACAACTCTTCATGTGCCCATGTGTTTTTAATACTCCAGGGGATACTATACCTTCCTTCACTAAATACCAATCACTGAATAGCAACCACTTGGAACTAAACAGGATAGATGGTAAAGTTCTATTGAGTCCATTCTCTTTCTTCTCTAATAAATCACCTCATCTTAGCTTCTGGCTCCCATTTCTATGCCTGGATTTAATGGGACCTTAATCTGACTCCAAAGACCATGCTCAGCCACAATACCATGTAGTCTCTCGTTTTATATTTTTTTAAGAGCTGCACATTATGTATTTGTTGAGACTTTTTGCACAGATTAGACTCTTCTTCAAATAAGTAAGTAAAAAAATTACACTGCTTCTGACAAATTCAGATAAGTAACCTAAAACAAGCAAAAAGCTGATACATAAACATTTGTCATGACTTCCTATCATCATTGAGTAAAAGTCCAACTCTTCAGTTGGTACACAAGACTTTTCATTATCAAAACTCTACTTATTACTTCAGTCTCTCTTCTTGCTTCTCTCCACATATCTTTCCCACTGATCAACTACTTGCAGTTCCTTTGCTTCTCATGATGCTAAACCTTGAACAGGAGTCTCCACTGCCCAGGACTCCCTCCTTTGTTCTTTACTGGGCCAGTCACTACCCTTCCTTGAGTCTGGTCAGGCATGTTTCCTTTAAGAAACCTTCCCTATCTTCTCTCTCCTTCCCTAACTGGGTGCTGTCATATCAAACAAAACCTACCTCTAAAATAAACTTATTACACCACATAAATATTGCCTACTTACTTGTTTTTCCCTCTTAATTTACGTTTCTTCAAGGTTGAATCATAGTAGGCACTAAACAAATATTCTTCTGAACAAATAAAGGACTGAATAAGTTGCTCAGTAACATCACCTTCTTTGGAGCACACTGTGCCAGCCTCTAAAAAGTCCTATATGGGAAAAGCTTTGTTCACAAAAATGTACTTCACACCTACTGCCCAAAAAAGTCAAACAACATGGAAATAATTATGTAAAACATAATATAGCCATAACTGGAATATTAACCAGTCATTTAAAATTATGCTCATAAAGAACCTATAATAACACTTGTGGAATGACTATAATAATGGTAAATGAACAAAAAGGAAACTTTCAGTATTATCTAACCTATACAAAAATGCATAAAATAAAGTAATTCATTCCAAGTGGCAGCATTATGTATTAAAAAAAATCTTCCTTATACTATATTTTCTAAATTTCTAATATTTTCATGAAATGTTTTATTATTGTAAGAAAATGTTTCTAATGGAGAAGAAACATTTTTATACAAATCCCACTGAAGTCCATTGGCTAGAACAGCCTGCAAACTACAACAAAGAATAGCACTTTCCTTCCCATTAATTATGATAATACAAATAAAGTCAGATCTCAAATTCTGCAAGGACAAAATACAGTAGGACAGCAAACAAATTTGGAAATTAGTAAATAAGTTCTTTAAAGAAAGTAGAAGAAAGTCTCTTCCTATTATTGGGACTATTTTCAGATTACAGGGTAAAGTGCTATTCTATATTATCAAAGGCATGGGTGTGGGTATTTCGTGAGCTAAAAATTATCTTGGTATTTTCCAAAAACTAAATTTATATGACTGCAGAGAGAGAGAGAGAGAGAAAGGGCACCCTGATAAGTTGCTCTATTAAAACCCCACTCAGACCCAGCAAGAGTAGCTTACAATATGGACAGTCATAAAAGGGATTCTATACGTTTTCTCTCCGTGTTAAAACCATTTTGCTTAGGTCCTGTCACCGTTTCTACAACTTTCAGAAATTACGTACCTGAGTCATAAATTCTAAATCTATCTTTTCAAAAAATTCTTACAATAAGTTATTTATAGTATTAGACTTTTCTCCAGTAATTCAATAAATGTACTGTTTTAACTACGTATTTTCCTGAATTTCCATATACAAATCTGGAAGTCTACATGTCTAATACACAACAGTCATTACACATACTTAGTTATATACTCTTTACAGTTTTGAAATCCCATTCACCTCCATTAGTCTAAAGAGTATACTCAGTTTTGAGAGGAAAAAAGCAACTAGGGACTAAAACTCAACTAGTTAGTAGCACTGCTGTTAGAAGGCACAAGCCTTCTGCCATCCAGCCCCGGGGCATTTATCCATACTGCACCCTAAAGATTTGTCTATTCTCCTTATTTGGTGATTTTAAATAGACCTTGGTTATAAAGTTAGAACAATATAAATGTAGGTTTGTGTACAGAAATACACTTTTGGCACTATTAGGCAAGCATTACTACTTAGTGCTAATATTTTATTAAAACCTCTAGTTAAATCTCCCATCTTCCCTAACTAGATTCCAAGTTTTGAGAGAGCCAAGGCCTTTGTCCTATTCACTACTTTGGTCCCAGCTCCTAGGAAGATCTTAGCATAAGAGGCCCTGCACGGACATTCATGCGAGCTACGTAAAGGAAAGAAGCAGAGTCTCAGCACTCGCGCTCAAGCGCATCCGACAAGCTGGGAAGGCCTGTCTGTAGCAAGCATGAAACACGGGTGCTGAAACGCAGTGGCCTGCGCGGCGCATGAACAAGCGCTAGCGTTGGCGACATTTTGGTTCGTCCGTGCTCTGGTTCAACAATAGTACCCCTCAGCTAAGCACACAGACGCTAGGCTCCCAGACTGTCGCTTCCGGCCGCCACCCCACCCTTTTCTCCTCCAGTCGCAGTTGTCCCCAACTCCACCTTCCCGCCTCGCGGGTCACGGAGCCGCAATGCCTGAGACAACCCTATTCTCCCACCCCGGAAGTTAACGCAGCCGGCTCCATTACGTAACTTCCGGGCAGGCTCACTTCCGAGACAGACGCGGAAGTGCTGGCAAACGCCGGGAGCCGGTTCAGTTGCTGGGTTTCTTGCCCTGCGCTCAGCCCTGGGAACGTCCTGCAGAGCTAGATTCCTAGAGGCCCGATTCCGCTAGCCCCAAACAGAGGAAACCAGCGCTCCTGCTCCTCGGCCCAGGATCCGATGCCGACCGCGTCCTGGAGCCCCCGTAGCGGGGCCGGACCATGAGCCTGCTGGGCGGCCTCGCCTCCTCGCCGCGGGCCCTGCTGCCGTCCAGCAAGACCAGGATGAAAAAACTCACGAAGAAAAGCCAGAACGAGAAGTACCGGCTGAAGTACCTGCGGCTGCGCAAAGCAGCTAAGGCCACGGTGTTTGTGAGTCTGACCGGCGCCCAGCCCATCTGGAGTTTCCCTAGCGGAGTCTTTCCCCTTCCCACAGTGACAGTGTTAATATAATGTGACTTTTTCAGTATACATTACTGCTTGTTAGCCTGTGTCCTTAGAAAACTCACGTGATTTATCTAATCCTTTG